ATCACCCACTCAGATGAATTCTCGGACTGTCCCAACATACCCAGGTTTTGACCCCCTCTAAGGATCTCACTGATTAACATATCAAAGACAGTCCAATCCGACACCTAGTGCAATATCATAATCGAGTCTAGGGGTCAGGTGTAACATTCCAGTTTTGCCCATCTATCTCCAAGGTCCGGGGCAATACTAGAATTCTTGTTCGGTTCAGGGTTTCAAGAAAATGCACACTGCATGTACCTCAGGTCTCACCCTGGTAGCTGAGACAAACCACCCCAACCAACTTGGTGGCACATCAGTGTCAACCTTGGTAGGATAAATCTCCCCAGATTTATCCAACGGCTGTGAAGATTCTAAGCTAACACGAGTCTCATAAGTGTCCAATTTAAGGGTATTACACAAAAACACACCATAACAACATGAATCAAATATGTACTTTATTCATTTACATTAAATGTTATAATGTACATCATTCTGATTTGAGCTAAGGGCATACACTGTCTAACACTAGTTTTTAATAGGAATAACCCGATCTCAATGTACGCCGAAGTAAATAGACATTGTAGGGTATGTGCCCATCCTACCTGCGCACAAGTTACTTTTTTATTTGCCCATGCTGAAGAGGCAACTAGGTCTCATGTGGTGTTGAGATCTTTTATCAACTCGACACCTTAGCCCTTGGGCTCTGGGAGCGACTCGCAGTCTACTCTCCTTATCCTTATTTAGCCGACGTGCGACCTGACATTTCTGCCTAAGCGGGTGGTCATTCTATAATAACTTCTCATATAGTTGCTTCTACGTCATCTTGTAGGATTATCTTCTTGGGTGAGTGCTTGCGAGACCATAACGTACATGTTATGCCCCCTTTGCGAGGGCATAATGTTGTTGTCGGTGTGATTTGGCAGTTTAGGGCCATGACTACACTACATCAGCCTCGTTAGTGACACCGGTCATCCACTCCTACAAGAAGCCACTGGGAGCTTGACCTACGGGGGCAGCACTATTGACTTTAGGTCACCAGCTCGCACAGGAGCCTTGGAAGGCTCAACTTGCAAGGGCGTCCATGCAGTCCGTTGGCCGCCAACTCCTGCGGAAGCCACGAAGAACTCATCTTGTAGAGGCGACCTCACGAAACAGGGCTGATGAGGCCTCATCCTGGCTGACTGCTATTGAGGATGAGTTGAGGATGTTCTGTTGTTGTCTACATCGGGCTTCTCCCATGCTCAGATCTGGAAATTCATAATTCATCTCATAGAACTGCTACGCTTCAACCCCGGCAGGAACCACTAATGGCTGTACCGTGGGGAGAGGGGCGTTCACATGCAATAACGGTGTATTTATCTTGGGCACTAGGGATGCTGAGTTTAGCCTGAACTTGTCTGCTTGTCACAGGGGAGTTCTCCAGGTTCATCATAGGTGTTTTTGTCCCCCAATAATCGGTATTCGTTCTGGGTGTTGATGCTGCTCAAAAGTGCCTTTGAGTTCATAAAAAATGGAAATTAGAAAGTGAGAACTTTAGTTTCTAAAAGGCGGGATCTTAGCTTTTTGGAAGAATAGGACTTAGCCTTTTAGAAGGTGAGAATTTAGCTTCTTGTAGCGTTTCTCACAGACGGCATCAATTGATAGTGCGCGATCTAGATACTCCTAACTGGAAGATGATTTGAACACTAGTTGCGTGACGAGCTGGATCAGACTACAAGATAATAGATTAGAGAACCTGGAGTGGCTAACCCGGCGAGGTCGCTCCGATGCTTAAGTTAGTACTATATTATGGATGCAAGCTGAATACTTGAATGCTAGAGTGCTAGTGAGCAAATAATCATACGTACCTATCTTTTTTCTCCTCTCTGGGTCTTTGGGGTTGGTGCCTTTATATAGGCATTGTTCAATGTGGGCCTCACGCACCGCATCCAAGATTTCTAGGAGATCGTACCTAACCGGTCCAAAATCCTTAGAGGTAAACATCATGCACATTGACCACCCTCCGAAATGTTCGGTATGTGGGCCAACTTCTATGAATCGTGGGAGTATCGGGTATGCATGCCGAATTTGTCACATCTCACAAGTCGCCACCTAGACCTCAGTCAAGTCAACATGCCCTCGAAGGAAGTTCGGCCAGTGACGAAAGGGTGCAAGTCGGCCTTGAACAAAGTACTTTTAACCAACCTGAATTGTGGTCGAAGTCGCCAGGTTAGCGGTGAAGGCAAGCCACTAGGTGAAAAACCACAATAAACCACAATTTGAGACTCCAAGTCATTGCTTAAGTGGTGTGTATGTATCAACTAGATGTTCCAAGATAACATATATGTGATGTCATTAGAGAGCCAAAATCCGCCCTCGTCACAACCCGTTATCCTTCGCCCCTTCACCCAACACCCCTCATCCATCGCTTCCACAGCTTCCCCCAAACCCCCAAACTCGAAAGCAGCCGCTCCAACGACGAAGCCCTTGACTTGATTCCCACCTCTTGTTCCTCCTCTTCTTCCACCGAAATTGAAGGCAGCCTAGTAAGGTTCCTCCCTAATGTCTTCTTTTTCAACACCGCATGCTCCCGGAGATCAGTCTCCGACAGAGCTCTGCTCATCTTCTTCATGGAATCGTCGCCAAGAGGCACCGAAGCCGATGAGGCAGTCAATGTGATCGGTCGAGTTTTCGGTATATGAAGAAACAGGTTAGATTCCGGCAACGACTCCTTTGACTACGGAATCCATGAATTCAAGATCGGCGTTGAAGCGCTTCGAAGAAGCATCTTTTTTGTTCTTTCCCAAAATAAAATGAGAAAAAAAAAAAAAAGAAATCTTCGACAAGAGAGAGAGCTTCAAGTGAGTGGGCGAAGAGGCAAGAAGACCTCCTCGATTAACAGAGAGAGCTCGCCAGTCGCTTTATATACATATATACAGAGAGACCGAGTGGGTGAGTACAGAGAGAGAGAGTGTGTGTGAGTGAGAGAGGATTTATAAGCAGGACAGAATCTAGACCGTTGATTCGAGTAAGGAAGTGGACGGAGGAGATATGGGAGCTACGCATGTGCCTTATAATTCAGAAATGGCGTCTATACAAGAGGACGAGTGGACGACGACGTTCTTTGAGGTGATTCCACGTTGAGCAGTGAATCACGTGACGTTGGGTCCTTGTGGACCGTCTGATTTGTTTAGTAGCGCAGTTTCGACGGTGAGTATTAGCTCCAACCACGTGAAGATAAAGTAGCTGCATCTGCTTGAACATGTGGCAGTTTACATGAATCTGAAACAACCCACGAAAGACTTATAATCCAAAGATTTCTTTCCTCCCTGCAAAAGGCAAATGATGGAAAAGAAACTCCAACTACAAGTAAAACAAAGTAGGGGGCAGAGCAAGTTAAGAAAGAAAATTTCTTGTTTTTCTAATCAAATTGAAAACCCCACTTGTGATAAAAGATTACAGAGCTGAACTGCAGAACGGACAGAAGCTGAACTCGGGTTCAACAACGTGAGAGCAAGAATGGCAGCGAAGAATATCGGAGAGGGACGGAGAGAAGTCGAGGACGGATGGGGAGGGAGGGAGAAGGATTGAGGGAAGAAGAGGGAGCAGCTGTTGTAGTACATGGCTGGCTCTTTGCCGGACCAACGCCACACCGGAACGAAGAACACCTTCAGGACCTTCTCGTACTCCACCAAACCCGCCGCCGAGCCGCAGTTGGTGCAGCGTCCACAAAGAAGAAAAACATCTCTTCTGCTTTCTTCCGTTAATTCTGAAAACTGATCACAGGTTCACAGCTACCGAACGAAACGGGTCGTGTCGTGTCGTTCTCTTCTCCTTTATCGAACCTATTTGTTATCTTTCCTTTTGCTTCCCTCGACTTCGTTCTTCTCGACTGGAATTTGAAGAATGAAGAGTCGGTTACAACTTCGAACAGCACCGGAGTTTCTCAAGTTTTCAGATCATTGGGAGATTTGGTTTTGGGTTCTCGTCGCACTTGTAATTGTAAACCAGTCCACCTTTTTTATGATATGTAAGTAAAAACAATACGTTTCCAAGTATTGTACCTCTTCAATCATCATCATTTCTCCGGTCTCTCTGTAATCTGTGATGGTGGCGCTTTCTTTCTTCAATCGGTAAACAAGATGAGAGGTGAGGAGAATTCCGTTCGGAGGTGGAATGTTTTCTTATTTGTTTTTTGTTCGGGGAGGATTCGGATTTGGATATTCGATGAGCGAGGCCGGAGCCATTGCTGCAAGCATTCTAAGCATTCTTCGGTGCGGAGAAGAACGTCTGGCTGGTTGGTGGATGGAGCTTCACCTCCATCGAGAGATCGAGAGATTTGGAGGTTAGCCGTTAGTATTAAAGCCGTTGCCAAACTCTTATGGTCATGGATCTTGAATTGCATTAAACAAAAGGGAATGGCGAAACAGAATCCAATATAATTAATTCTATATAGTTGAAAGAAGATGATGATAATGATGATGATGACGACGACGACAATATGAATGAACAAAATTGCAATATGTAAAAATATTTATCAAACCAAAGGAAACCACTGTCTGGAGCTCTGCAGTGGTTAGAGCAATGAATATTTTTTAATTATTTCTTTAGCGGTAAACGGAAATTAGAATGGGAATCGGGCAACTTATCTATTCTGGGACCCTGAACAAGCAGTAAGCAGGTGGATGGCCAGTGGAGATGCCAAGCTCCTTTCTGCTCACATATATTATCTTATTCATTTTCCTAGCCCACATAGATATTTCCAATGTAAGCAGACTTAAGGCTGCATTTGGCATTTCTTATTTTCAGGATTTATCTTCTTTTTTGCGGTTAAAATGTCCTTATAAATATCGAGTTTTTAACTGTAAAAAGAACATAAGTCCTTAAAATAAGGAATGCCAAATGCAGTCTAACAATGTCCTGGCTCCTACCATAGCACACTGCATGCCTGGGGAGAGACCTCCCAGCTAAGTGACGTGCCACTTTTGGTTATTGGAATTTACTTGAGGTAAGGAAAAATATCCTTTCAAGTGGTTGAGTTATTATACTAGGCTAACAGATACAGTGCTCTAATTGCATCTTACAGGAACAGTTCCACCAATAGAAGGAAATATTTTCAAATTACAAGTACAAGAAAAGAAACTAAGACAAAAGCTCTATAAATAAGTGGTATCTGCTATGTCCAAGAGATTGTAAGAACATCTTATCAAATGCTTAAGCAAACGACAAGATGTATGCGAGATCGCATTACAATCACACTAAAGTAAGATACAGATCCTAGTCTAATTTAAGACTGTGATGAGGTACATGTACACCTTATTGATTGGGAAGGCTGAGAAACAGTTTACCAACCAAGCGATCACCCAAGATACGGATGCAAATCCTATACTTGCAACCCATTGAATCCAATTCAGCCTCTCAGTGTTGGCAATCCTCTTGGCAAACTCCACCATTACCACTTGAAGAACAACTGTAATCCCAATGATCACTGAAAACAACCGGTTCTTAAATATCCCCTTAAATATATTCTTCTTCCCATGCTTCCTTGCATTGAAAAGATTAAATACTTGGCATAGGACAAAAATATTGAAGATAAGGGTGTCCTTAATTTTTTCATTGACACCAAAGACAGACCTTCCCTTGAATTGTAGGATGAGAAAGATAGTCACTTGATACAAGGCTTGAAAGATGAGATTTCCCCACATGGCATGAGTTATAAGTGGCTGGTTTTGAACCACAGGAAGCCTCTCCATGAGCTCCCCGGTTGGCTGTTCAGCAGCCAGGGCTATGGCCCCCAATGCATCCATGATTAAGTTCACCCATAACAGTTGTACTGCCGTCAGTGGTGCTTCACCAGAAAAAACTGCCACTATGAGGTTGATAGAAAGGGAAGAGATATTGACCGTGAACTGAAATTGGATAAACATTTGAATGTTATTGTATAAGCACCTCCCCCACCCCAAAGCTGCTGCTACAGAGGTGAAGCTATTATTTAAGACGATGATGTCTGAACTCTCTTTCACCACCTCAGCACCTTGAATCCCAACAGCAAAACCAATGTCTGCTTCTTTGAGTGCTTGAACATCATTTATTCCATTGCCGGTTACTGCAACAACATGGCCTTTTCGTTTCAAGCATTGTACCATTAGAAGCTTATCAGAGGGGGATGACCTTGCCATCACCTGAATTCTATCAATCTTATCCATTCTTTCTTCCTCTGAGTAATTTCGGAACTCTGCTCCTTCAACTACTGCTTCATTATTCAATTCCACATCAGATTGAAGTATCCCACATTCAATGGCTGAAGCTTTTGCAGCAACTACATGGTCTCCAGTGATCATCTTGATGTTGATTCCAGCATTTCTGCAAACCTCAACAGCCTTGCTAACCCCAGTTTGGCATGGGTCCTTCAAACCCAACAGGCCTAATAAGGTCTGGTTCTCTTCTTCAAGCTTGAGGTGGACCTTGGTGTTATCGTTGTCTTCTGTTTCCGGAATTTTTTTGTGGGATAATGCAATACATCGAAGGCCTTTAGCTGCCATGTCTTCAATAGTTTGCTCAAATTTATTCCGTTTGTCTTCATCAATGGCTTTTACACTACCAGATCTCAAATAATAACTAGAACACATTTCCAGTATCACCTCAGCATCTCCCTTCCAATGAATGTTAATCATCTTTTCATCCCCCTTCCTTATCAAAATTCCACTTCGTTTCTTCGCTGTATCAAAGGCTTCAACATGGAGGACTGTGCAACACTGCCTTACTTCATCCATATCCATCTTTAACTCCATAGCCCAAGATAGAATGGCTTTCTCAGTGGGACTACTAGAAAACTCTGACATCAATACCGAAGGACAATTTCGAACACCATCAGTTGTGTTCAGACAGACTCCTTGTCGTAGCAATTCAGTAACTTCAGGGGCTATTTCTGAGGTGCCATCCTTCATTGCTTCTTCACCAAGCCAAAACTCAGCAACCTTCATTTGGTTCAGTGTAAGTGTGCCTGTTTTGTCTGCACAGATGACAGTAACTGAGCTCATAATCTCACAGGCAGCAGGTTCACGAACAATCACTTGATCAGCCTTCATTCTCTTAATACAATAAAATAAAGTGAGAGTGAAAATTAATGGCAAGCCTTCAGGGATTGCTGCTACTACAATGGTAACTGTAGACATGGTATTTACTGGCAAAAACCCACGGATGCCCAACAATGCATTTGTTGTATCTTTAATATAGTATCCTGGGCACCTGAAGAAATGCACCAGCATGACCACAAAAAAAGGGAATGCAACAATAAAACCAATAATTGCTAAATTAGAGGCCAACCTATTCAGCCGAGCTTGTAGTGGTGTGTGCTTTGCTGAACCATGGCCTTTTGAGCTCATCATCTCACCCCATGCTGTGTTCATGCCCACAGCAGTGACAAGCATTCGACCATCTCTATCTGCCACCTTGTTCCCAGAGAATAGAAGCAGACTCTCACTACTGTTGATGTCAACATGATCACTCTCCCCTGTCAAAAAACTGGATCCATTCACTTGTACATGTGAGAAGGGGACATCTAACAGCAATCCATCTGCTGGAACCTGATCTCCAATCTTCAGACGGACAACATCTCCAACCACTATGTCAAAGATGGAGACCTGTTTCCGCTTTCCTCCTCTGACAACATCCACCCTGATGATTTCGCTCTCATCTGAAATACTGTCAAATAATCTTGATTGCCAAAATGTGCTCACTGCAGAGAGACTGACAATGACTAAAATAGAAAGAATTATACTTGCAAAACTGTATAAACTTTTTCTCAGCCCGTAAGTAGTAAAAACCCCAAGATAGAAAGGGCTGCAGATTAAAATGACGAGGACAGTAGTCTCCTTGAAACCTTCCACCACAAAATGGAAGAAGCCTTTTGCAGGAAGCCTCTTGTATGTATTCAAACCAAACACATTTTGCCTGTTCCTAAGATCCTTGGTGTCACCATGAATTCCATTATTCACATCAGTTTGAAGAAGCTTAGCAAGTCCTTCAACCCCACCAAACTGATGAAGATACTCCAGTTTTTTCTCCTTTACCAAATCAATAAGTCTTGTCTGGTCAACATTGGCAAAAGGTTCGATGTTGTCATTTCCACCACCACCATCATGAGGAGATACATCAATGGCAGTGTAAGATTGCATACGTAATATGCTGGGAAAGAGTTGATTCTTCATTGCGAAAATATCTCCAGTAAGAGTAATGAAAACTCGGCAAGAGTAGATGGTTGCATAAGCCAAGCGCCATCTCTTGTGAGATTTGGTGAGGGTAGGATTGTTAGGGAAGAACAGAGTAGCAGAGTCAAAGCCTTGAGCACAAAGCGGATCACTGGACATCACCAAGATTAAAACAATGAAGAGGAACAAGAGGGACAATATGCGCTTTCTCTGGAAGAAGCAGGTTGTGGAAGAACTATTTTACATGTCAAAGGAACATGAGCTAATTCGTGGAAGCATCATTTTTATAAACTGAAATGTGAAAACCAAAAATTTCTGTTACTGATGGCAATGAACATCTTCATATTGTTCTAATAAAAACCAGAACACAAGCACATGCAGTTAAAACTTAACAATATATTTATGCACTCAAGTTAAGGTTATTTATCCAAATGAAGTTCACTTTTGTTTCACTATCCATGTATAGAAACACGGATTTTAACATGTTTGATGAGTTAAAATGTGTATGTTTAAATGTACAGATATGGTACCAAGATACCTGTGCATGCTTGGCATTCCAATGTTTGTAATCAATACAACACAACAAATTGCATGTACACTTACAGAGTTCTCATAGCTTGAAGCACTTCTAAAATATGTAATTTTATATTTTAACAAATCAATACTGTTGTTAGCTAGCTGTTAGTTTTTGTTAATTTTTTACTGTTTATTCTTTGATTTATGCCTCAGGGGTATATTTGTCTTTTTTATTTCTTTTATTATTTTGTCTCGTCCCTAGAATAAATAATAAAAAAGGACAGCCAAGATGGTTTTCTTTTGTCTCTTCTTTTTCTAGTCTCCCTTTCTCTCTTATCTCTTCTTTATTTTTCTAATTTCTGGGTTGAGATCAGGTATCAGAGCAAATCTGTGGGAGATAGAAGCACTTAGACCGCAGTTTTCTCTCTTTTCTGTACCCAGAATTCTTGGTTTTGAACTGTGACAGTTTCCTTTTTGGGGCTTGCACCTTCATGTATGTGCTGTGAAGGGGTTGTGCGATCCCTTCTTGAGTAAGTAGAGGAGGTTCTCTAGTGCTGCATGTAGTGTGTGTTGAGGGTGATTGGAGATTGATTTTCTGGGTAGTATAGTTGCTGTAGGTGATTGGAGACTGATTTTCTGGGACAGTACAGTTGCTGTAGGTGATACTGATTTTCTTAGGCAAGTACAGTTGCTGTAGGTGGTCTTTCAACCTTTTTCTTGGAGTTTCAGCAGTTCGACAGTTCCTCTTATTGAGGTGTGATCAGTCACAGAAGTGTTGTTGTGGTTTAGGTGTTTGATGATTTTCCCCAATGGCGATTGATGAGTTTGTCTCTTCCGGATATCTACCCTAGGAACAACTAGTGTGGGTGAAGATAGTATGAACTTTCCTATGCCAGTTACTCCGTTGAATGAACTAAATTACATGGATTGGTCCACGGGTATCGAACTCTATGTTAGAGCTAGGGGTAAAGCTGGATACATCAATGGGAAGGTGAAGGAGCCTAAGAGTGGTACTGCAGAACATGACCGGTGGGATCAAGAAAATAGTATGGTCATGTCTTGGTTTTTGGTACCTATGGAACCTGAGGTGAGGAAAAATTTTATGTGGGCTGACATGCTAGTGAGATATGGGAACAAGCGAAATCCACTTACTCCGATCAAAGGCATTATGCCAAGATCTATCAGTAACAAGCCGAGCCCTCCACTTGTAAGCAGGGAGATCATAGTTTGTTAGCTTACTACTCAGCCCTCACATTAGTTTGGAAGGAGTTGGATCACTACCAAGCAGTTGACTAGAAACATGATGATGATGTTGATGCCAAGGCTTATAAGGAATTGGTCTCTCAGCAGTGGATCTTTGCCTTTTTGTTGGGACTAAATCCTATATACAAGCCTCTTAGGGTTCAGATTTGGGGAGTAGTGAGCTGCCTTCAATTCAAGAGGTGTATTCCCTGGTTCAATGTGAGGAAAGTAGGCAGAGTTTGCTGGTTATTGCTAAAGGGGAGCAGCAACAAAGTGCTTTAGCTACAAAAGGGAGTAATATGATGAAGAAAAGTGATAACAATGTTAGAGAGTGTACGCCCTTAGATCCAATCAGATTGATGTACAAATACATTTATCATAAATAAATAAAAGTACATCATTGTTTCATGTTGATATTGGTATGTATCTATGAAATTACCCCTTAAACTAGACATTTATGAGACTCTTGTTAGTTTAGAATGTTCTCAGCCGTTGGATAGACTTTGGGAGTTTATCTTGCCAAGGTTGACACTGATATTCTTCCAAAGAAATTGGGGCAGTTTGTCTCAGCTGCTACGGTGAGACCCAAAGCACATGTAGTGTGTGTTTGGTTGAAACACTGAACCCGGACCATTTTCTATTTATGCCCTGGACTTTGGGGATTGATGGGCAAAACCAGAAAGTAAAACATAACACCTAGACTTGATTATGGTACTATATTAGGTGCCAGATTGGGCTGTCTTTGTTATGCCAATCAGTGAAATCCTTTGTGGGTCAAAACCTCGGTATGTTGGAACAGTTTGAGAATTCACTTAAGTGGGTGATCATAGTAATAGGATCAGCCCCTTTGTCGAACAAAGTGAATGATCAGGTTTGTACTCTCTCTAATGGAAACCTAAACTACTGGTAGTGGATTTCAACTGTGTTTGAGATTTGGTTTTGCAAAATATATATATATATATATAAAGTGTGCAAAAATGTTTTAATTCCTGGGATCCATCTGAGCAAAGTGTGACACTACACCTTGTAGCCAGGGGAGAGGTCTTTCCCTGTCGGGCAATGTTTTATCATTATGGGCTAAGAGGTTAAGTGTAACAGACCATTAAGGGCTAATTACCTGATGGGCTTTATCTTACTTAAGTCCATTACCCTTGGATCTTCATAGGATGGCTAGATTCAAGGATCATTTAATTGTAAATGTTGGGCCCATTTTGAACCCATAGTGATGAGTTCAAGGGTTCACTATGTTTAGCAGTGAATTCGACCAAGTGTTTTCACAGAGGTTGGGCCGAACCCATGTGGGCTTATGTGAGGTCATTATGGGGTCCCACACCATACAAATCAAACCTAAATTGGCCAAGCAACACTCTTGGGTCGTAAGCCATATAGTTAATGGGCCTAAGGCCCATAATTAATATGATTAACTAACATGTCACATGACAGCTTAAGTTGTCATGTGACATGGGGTGAATCTGGGTTCGGAAATGGGTATGGAGCACCCATCCTCTTAAGAGGATGAGTTTTATCTTTTAATAGAGTACAGATCCATATAAAGATTTGGATAATCTCCTAATTTGATTATGATAAGTGCTCCATAAAGAGATAAAAGAGAAGAGGGTAAACTGATCTAGATAACCTCTCAATTCTGCTCTCTCTCTTCTTCTTTTGTCTTCCAAGAAACCCTAGTTCGACTACAACTTTTTGGGACTGATAAAGATTAGTTCCTTCTCTGATTTTTGCAAGAAAAAATCAGAGAAATTTCGTTCTCACCTCCCCAGTTAACCAAACAGTTGGATTGCAGTTTTGCTGAAAACTACGTTGCTGAACCGGCTTTAAGATCAAGCTGCACCATCTTCATTGGAAGCTGGTTTTAGGAACTGATTTGGGCGTGAACTTCCACCTTGGGATCTACACTTGTAGTATCCGTATCAGGTATACATCTCCCTCTTTGTTTGGTTTCAAATCTGGTCCGGTTCTGTGCAAGACCAATCCTAGAAAAATGCAGTTTTTCGAAATTTAGGGAATACGATTCCCAGAAGGTCTGGAAATTTTTGAAATTTCGCCCAACCATCTAGCATGGTTCGGCCATCCATATGATGGATTCTAAACCTTCCTTTAGTGGTATCAGAGCCTCAGGTTCAGCCTTGAACCAAACCAAATCAGATTTGAAACCAAAACTCAAATCGGCTAGAAACTCAAATCGGCAAGGACTAGTCTAGCTGATTTGAGCAACTAGCACTTTTTCTGAGAAATCGGTTCTCAGAAATTGGGCAAATTATCTGAAATTTTCATGATTATATTCTGATATATTTTAGAATTGTTCTATTGTGAATTCTTGAATTTTTGCGCTAAATGTGTGATGGAGATCGAAATCTTTGTGGCGCCAAATTCTGTGTATTCGATATTCATTATTCCGGTTATCTGGTCTATAATAATTTTTTTCTTTTTAGAAAAATTGTATTAGGTTTTTCCTTATGTAAGTAATAAAAATTAGGGTTTTTTCTATTTTTTTTTACATCAGAAAAATCACTAGAGCGCGCGGAGAAGACGGAATCTGCAAATGAACGACAATCTGCAAATTGTAGTTTTTGCGAGGTTGCAGTTTTGTTCGGATCAGATTCGGACCATCACACTATCCGCCCTAGCTTTATTATTTGTTGTTTGATTGCTGCTTTGATTGTGAATCTTAGCTGAGAAATTTCAGATCATTAATCATAAGAATTGTTGCATTTTTTGGACACCAAACCCTAGGCCAATTTGACCTAGTTTTGGTTCAATCTAGTTGGGCCGAACCTATGGTTCCTTGGGGTCTAACCACAGCCCCTTGGATCATGGTTTGAGTGACTCAAAATCGGTTTTGGGCCAAGGGTTTGATGGCCCATTGCGTGGACCAATTCGGCCCTCACTTGAAAAACCCCTTTTGTGTTAGATTAAAGCAAGACCAACCCATTTTAGCATGGACTGCTATATGGGATAAACTGCCTTTCGCAGTTTAGCCCATATACCAAGTTAAAATTACTAGATAATTTGGTCCATTGATGGGCTGATCATGTGTTAATCTAAATGAATATGGGTTGTACAAGTCTTGAATTGATTTTGATCAATTTTGTGTGTGTATGTGATGTGCTGAATGGATGTGATTCATTCGTGGGCCATAAGTGCTTGGCCCATGTATTGACTTATGTGGCTCTCTGCGTACATCATGACTGAATGCACATCATTGCCATGATGCCCATAGATCATTGCATGATCTCCCTTTTCAATGGCCCCCTGATTAGCTTCCTCCCCAAGAGGAACTTTGTGGAACCCTAGCCCTTTATGGGCCCATTTGAATCTGACTTTATGAAAGTCAGTGGGAGCCCCTGTGGAATGACCTAAATCTGACCTAGGGACTGATATACACGTTCCCTCCGGATTAATATAAGTGCAATAAGATAGGGAATATCATAAGATGATTTCTCTAAAGGCCTTCCGTCA